GAAAACAATTCGGACCCAAAGGACCGGCACATATTTGACAATGTTGATCACAAACAAAAGTCTACCAAACTCGAAGAACCACATAGTAAACCGTGTCCAAACCCTAAAGGACCACAACATTGTACGAACTTTGATTGAAGGGCCTCAAAATTGTAGCAATTTGGGTCGAAGTACCACAAAATATAGAAATTTCGGTATAGAATTCCAGATCGAAGGACCAAAAGCGAATAAAACAAAACGTTTGCCAATAAGAAATTTATTTCTTTAAGTAGTTGAACATTGTAAGTACATACAAAAAAATTACACTTCAAACATCCGTCTATAATAAACCTAAGACTAATAGCCAAAAAGAAATGTCAAAAAAGTCATTATTATTAGTCAAAAAACATAATGAAATCTCTCTCTCCGTTATGAAGTGCATTAAATGTGAAAAAATGCGTGTTATTAAATGCAAAATTACAATTTACTTTCTAACATATAATACTGAAAATAGAAAATTAAATAAAAAAGGAAAACAATTACAATTACATTAATGTACTTAACAATAAATGGAAAATATATTTAAGACTGGTTTTAATAGGAAATGGTTGGCAAGAAATACTCTAGTTATTTACTTTAAAACTTAACTGTTGAGTTAGTATTTCAATCTCTACAGGCGATTATAAACTTTATTGTTAGTACACAAAGTAGATTTCGATTAAAATCGAAATTACTGGCAATGTTCATTACGTCCATTTCTCCGTACATTTTAATTGAAAACCAGTCACTAAAATGTACCTAAATAAGTACCCAAGCACCACAAGCTAATAAATATATGTACGCTACAAGCATTAAATTATATATATTAAACATTTATCATCTCTTATACTATTAATTAGCATTGTACTTGCGACTTTAAAGCTTTACAAATAAGATTTAATGTTAAAAAGCTAGGAAAGAAAGTACCACATATACAAAATAGTTTATGACCAGAATAAAAAGTAGTTATTAGATGTACGCTCGAATACTGTAAGGCTACTCAATTTAAAGTTGGACTGAAATATCGTGCCGTCTCTGTCATTTTATAAAGAATTTGTAGAGACAGAACTATATTTTAGTTTTGGACGCGACATAAAATTGAGTAACATCTCAGTATTTGGGCAACAATAATTTATTGTTAAGCGTATTTTACTCTTTTTCAATCAGTTTCACAATTACCGATGTATAGTTTAAACAAAAATAGAGGCAACGGGTTTCGTGTTTCGCATAAACAAAAAATATTGTCGTACAAGATAATCAAATCTAATCAACAATCATAATTAAAATCGAAATTATCAAAAGTTAATATCAATAAATTATATAGGTCGGTATATCACAACATACAATCTACGCGTATTCCAATTTTATCTATCTATCTATATAAATAAATCCCTTTTTCCCTTGGCCACGGCATCACGCGTGAACGGCTGAACCAATTTCACTAATTCTTTTTTTGTTGTATTTGTTATTATTAGGAGGTTAAGGTTATTACAGAAAAAAATCTAAATATCCTACGGGAACGGGATAAAACGGGATTGCGCGTACGAAAACACGGGCAGAAACTAGTAACCGATAAAAGTAATAAAATACGCAAAACATTTTAATTAGTCATAGAAAAACTAATTTTCGAGATAAATACACGACAAACTTAGTGAGACGATATGGAAACAGCGATAGAAAATGTATTATAAGTATATAGTATGCAAAAACGATTAACAGAAGCTACAGTCTTTATAAACACATCTTTGGAATGGTTACAATATAATAATAATAATTATATTCTTATATATTTTACGAATAATAATAAACTTGTCATAATCTGTTACGTTATAAATGCGTAAAACATTGTCATATTATTGTTATTGTTATATAAATATACTATAACATTTTATTTCATCTTATTGGCATCATCGGTTTAGTTGGCTTCGTTATAAGATATTGCTTAATTTATCATAAGGGTTTTTTTTGTAAAATTTGTCTTTTATACTTAAAAATCTTTCATAAAATTGTTATGCATAAAGCCTCGAAATACTATAACTACTACTACTAATGAAAAAGTTGCCTAATTTAGAAGCAGCACGCATTGCACTCTATTTCTACAAAACGAAATTCATGAAATCAAAAGTAAAATCTAACACAAAATCTGTCTACTATTCTTTAAAATGACTACAGAATTCGACACCAAATAAAAAAAACAAAAAGGTTTTGACCAGTCTCTGAATTTTCTTTCTGAAATGTTTATGTTCAGTGGCCAGAAATCAACCTACTCCAATCTGTCATTGGATTTTCTACTTTATGTCAATACAATAAAGTTGATGTTGGAAAACGATAGGTTGACGTTTTGGCCATCGTACCAAATAAATATAATTTTTCATACAATGCGCACCGCTACCTAACATGTACCTAAAACCATTTGACATAGCTCTTGCATTAATAATACAATAACGATATGATGTTTCGATTAAGGCATATAATTCTTATTTTATAAGAAATGTCGAGTAAACAGCTAAGCTACGTAATCAGTATAATATAATTAATACATTTCCTTTCATATCAATAATACTTCATGCACCAATGTTTCAAAGAGTAAGTTTTATTGTACTTTTAATTTTGAAATTATTTTTGTGTATGTGATTCTGACGTTAGTCGTGTGTCTCTAATACATTGTAAAATTTATTTTTTAACCTATTTATACTCCTCCTCTTCTCCTTTATTGAGGATCATTACTCCACAGATAGCCATCAGCATCGGTCATGTAATTTATATATTTTCATTTAACTTTAAAGGTCGTTTGCCTGGCCTCACAGAAAACCGACATAAAACAACGCTTGCGTTATGTTCCGAGTTACCGGAGGCCTACTTACCCCCCCCCCCTCCCCCAATCTCTTAATCCCAACAATCCCCAATTCCTAATCCCTAAAATGCCGGTAACGCACTTGTAACGCCCCTGGTGTTCCGGGTGTCCATGGGCGACGCCGATTGCTGACCATCAGGTGATTCCTGTGCTCGTTTACCGGCTTATTCTATAAAAAAACTGTACTCTCTTTCTACCAATCATGATGTTCCATTACTAAGTTAGTAACTCACTCGTATACATATAAAACATTCTAATTGTGCGCCATTGATCTTAAAACTACTCAAATCCATTAACACCCCCAAAGTTATCAATTTCCCTAATGCACTACCAATCTACGTGTTTTAATTAAAGATTCCATTTAAAAAATATACTGTTTTATAAAACCTCAGAATCACATAACACATAACCCACTGACCACTGTACTAAGAGTCATTTAATGCATACGTAACTCAATCCTTTTTTTTTGAGGGGGGAAAATCATCCAATGACTTCTCCCGCCCAAGTGAGGCGAGAAGGAATGTCAGACTCTTACTGACGAAAACCACCCCGTTCCTATTCCTGCACTTCGAGCCGGAGCCCCGGCAACCCGTTAAGTCTTCCGCGGCTCCGTATCGGCATCAGCCCTGTTGGGTACCATCTGTGGTGGTCTGATAGCTCCTTGCGAACGCGACGCGCCGTACGCGCGGGTTCTGATTGGGCGGCAAACCATCCGTGCTCACCGTCCGCAGGCCCGAACGTAACTCAGTCCTTAGCAATTGTTTTCGGAACAAAATCGTTACTAAGTTTAGGTAAAAAATTAGGTAGGTAAAATCGTTTAGGTAAGCATTAAATGTCTCTGAGTATCACAGTAAATGGATTGTCGGCAACAATAATTAATATTTCATTATCTTTATGTTCTTATAAACTGTGTTAAACACTACAGTACTTTTGTAATCGTAGATTAATTCTATTGCATCATTTATAAGTAAAGAGTGCTATCTATTACGTGTATAATTGTATCGTATTTTGGTGCAAAAAGACTAATTTAAACCTTACGGCTGCTACGTATAAGAATTAAATTAATATTTGCAAAATGGGCGAAAAAATCTTAAAATAATACTTAACAGCGAATCACTCTATAACACAACAAACGATGAGATCTCGGGAATATAGTTCTGCAGACTGTAAAATAGCTTCGAACTTGCGTATACGCATGTATTGCCATCTCTCTTCTTCCTTGTGTATTATACAAGTCTTTCAAGTGTATGTTACATTCAGAGGTCAAGTTCAAGTCAAGGTCAAGGTACAAGTTCGTTTCACGTTTAAAGTAATCGAAATGAGTACGCGTTCGGCGCTGTGATTGGCCGGCTCCAACGAACTAACCAATCGAGGTGCCGAAGGCAGTCTCGTTTCGATTAATTTTAACGTAAAAGAAACTCGTACTAAGGCCTCAGCTTGAACTACAGTCTGCAAAACGTTATATAAAAATCAAAAGCAAATAATAGCCGACAATAGCAACCAATTGGCAAAATATCTAAGTAAAAAAAAAAGTATATAAAAAAACAAACTAACTAATCAATTTAAATGCCTCCAATGGGAATGAACTTATAACGAATGGAATAATAACCAATTGCTTAATTTATAAAACTATACCAATCAACACAAAGAAAAATTTTAATCCATTGCAACCGTAAATGTCTTTATAATTTAATACAAATTCCATAATATAAAATCCTTCGAAATACCTTCCAATTCCTTTCAGACTTCTGTACTAAGATCATTAAAAAAAAACTAGCCTCGTTTCAAATTCGTAAACCGTTCACAGTCAGACTGTGTTAAAGGCAAATATATATCAGCTTGACCATTCTTGACAAACTCCCAAGTTATTATGAAAAATAGTAAAAGACCGACTGATGTTCATTTGAGTTCATGAATTTCTTACTTTGCTTGCTTTAAACAATGCATTTTTCACTTGTTTTTTGCTCATACATAGGTGTATTGCTTGGCAGACCAAGAATAAACGGAACTGTTTCATTGTAAAATGTTCAAGAGATATAGATAGACTCCTTTTTGAAGCCAGTTAAATGTTTGGTAACATTAATTTGGCTTGTAGGTCTTATTTCGTCGGTCACAGTTTAAAAGAAGTTTACAACGGGTACATGATTAGCAAAATGGTGGACACGAAGAACGTGCCAAGGCAAAGACAAGTGAAAAGAACTTTGTTCTCGACCTCCTTGGGAGCCTCAGTCTCAGTAGAAATCACACTGTTCAGATTATTCTGTATTTGGAGATTCATTTTACCCCTGTCATATCTCTCAGTATCAACCTCTTCCCTCAACAATTCCGTCGGAAAATCAACTTCGTCAGTATCGTATATTTCGAAATTATCGCTTTTTAGTACGTGATCCTCCTTGCAGAAAGGCGTCACGAATTGGACTCTATTGGTCTGGTAATAGGGTCCTCTGTTCCTTAGTTCATTTGTTCCATAAACCGGTGAGTAGTGTATGCCAGAATCCGTGTTATTGTTCTCGTTGTTTTGATATTCCTCGGATTCATCGATGGTGTAATGTTGATTGTTGTCAGAGAAATTGAAGTTGCTAATGAATCGTTCTTCGGAGTATCTTCGGAGCTGCCTTTGGTAATTGACTTCGATGGAGGAGTCGGGGTCCTCGCCGGAGTAGTAGTCGTCGCTATGTTGGTGCGAGAGTGTATCGTTGTGTGCGTGGGGTCTGATATCCCTACTAGCGTCGTGCGGCGTGGCGTGTGTGAGCAGTGCGGTGACTGTGCGAGCGAGAGGCCCGACACTGGCGTCTCCGTCAGAGTGCAGGGTCCCCAGTATGTCGTCGGGCGAACAGATGACCTCCTGCAACACACGCCACCCGACTCTTAGTTTCATTACAATAATCTTGTCGCTCGAAAGGATATCTTACATGACCCTGCAACACTCGAAAGGGACACGTCGCGAGGGAAGCCGATTTCAAAATTAATCACGTTAAACACACTAGTATTTCAGTCAGCGCGCGTAAGATATCGCAAGTCAATCGCAAAAATAAGAATCAAAATAAAAAAAAAATATTTAAAAACTATGCATAAAATAATTCAACAATAAATACTTAAAACTCACCTCTTCTACTCCAATTTTTCGACACGCTTCTAGGAAGTTATCCACGTTTCTTCTACATCGAGCCATTGTTAGTTTGGGCTGAAACAAAAAAGATAACGTTATCATCAATAAAACACCGTTATAACGACAGGGTCTTTAGTCTTAGTCTAATAACGTATAACCATCAGCGATTGCAATACTTTCACAGTGGAGAAAGCCGTTTAACTTAAGAGATTTCCAGTAACTTCTCTCCTTTTAGAAGGGGACTACAGAGATTCCCTGTCCTTCAGTGTTTAAGGACATACTCGTGTCCAATAGAGCAATACATTGATCTAAATAAGCTGTATATAGTTTACCCTGGCGCAGTGTACCTGTGCAGGCGAGGGCACGTGCACGGACGCGACGGAGCGCGGCCGCACGTGGTTGGCGAGGTGACACAGCACTACGCCGTCACTCAGGACCGGCGCCAACTGCTCCGGCAGCGACATCTTCAGGCGGGACTCGATTATCTGGAGTAGAGTAAGAATAATTATATTTATTTAAATCACTTGTTTCACTTGTTTCAATTAATGTGTTTTAATTCAGTATGTAATATGTTCTTACAGCACCGAATAACCAACAATGATCCATCTATGAATGCAACATATTTATGTCCTCAAATTAAACAATGTCCTAATAATATTGCTACGGGTTCACTAGACTAGTTTCGAACCACATTGGGGCTCTTAAACATGAGTCAACACTTATGTCAATGTTTACTATGTCTCACAAAAACTGTTACTTAAAAACATTCCCTATTTATTTTTAATTTTGGTCTGTTATAGTGAATGGAACTCACCGATCGTAATTGCGTCAATAAATCCAACTCTTCCTTCTGCTTATCAAACTCCCTCTTCATAGTAAAGCTGAGTTTGTCCACCGGAGCGTCTTTATTCCACGCCATCTTACCGGGGGGCTTTGGCGCAGCACCTTTTAAATACGACACACTAGTCGTCAACACTTTAGTACTGTCGCCGTTGACTTGCCGCGGTATACTCGATTTGCCTAAACTATTGTACCCAATGGTATTTGTAGGAGATTTTGAGGGAGACGTAGGTTTTATATACGTATCTGTCTGACCATTAACGCGTCCATTATATTCTACGTTCCCATTAACAGTCGAGTACACCTTACTATTCACATTTCTCGATGGCACTACTTTCTGCACGGGCCTTTTGTTCTCTTCTTGTTTTTCAATAACACCGTTTCCATTTGTTGACTGATTTTGGTATCTTCTGGGGGTTGAGTGTAGGAGGGGGGAATTTGGCACTTGGGATAGATTTGGGGATGAGGTATTGGATAGACTACTATTGGAAGAGGCGGTTTTGTATAGACTAGGTGATACATTACTGCTGTATCCGTTGACTGGGGAGTGGGAGGATTTCTGGTGGATGGGGCTCTGGTTTTGGGAGTGCGGGGAGGAGTCCAGCTCGGGAGACGGCTGGTCCGTGCGAGGGCGGTAGATGTCTTGTTGACGCTGCTGTCTTAAGGCTTCTTTGTATTGTCTGGAATGTTTCAAATACACAATAAGTATATCTCCTACAGATGTCACAGCGTTGATGTGAATACGGATTTCGTTTCCATTGCTGTTAGTTTTCGCAGTTATTTTAGTAACATTAAAATTCCAAATACTTAATCACAAAATTGTACACTTCAAGAACTAGGAAGTATAAAACAACGATTAGAAAAACATTAATTAACTGGCGTCGAGTGTGAACTATTTGTTAGTACTGCACCCACGGAAGTTCGGGAGCCGCCAATTAGTGTGTGTACAGACAAACGATGCCGTGCATGCTATTAGTAATATGACACATTCTACTGGCTAACGAACTAATGCTGAAAGACTAATGAATTTTAATTTGGACGGAATATTTTCTTTGTCAGTTTTGGACTTTAAAATGTTGCGATAGATATCCTTAAGTACGTATTTATAGAACAAATACTCCAGTTGTAAATATCTCTCTGTTTTTCGTGATTATCTCAAAAATATTGAACGGTATTTTATTCGGTTTTTACCATTACTTAGCGAAAAACATTTTAGTGTGCCTATTGGTATTTCGTGAAAGCGCTTGTTATTTATAATGGTTATCGTTATGTATCTTCTACCCAATATACAAGAACCCTATTCTTCACCATTAAAAACAGAAACACCGACTCCAAAAAAGAAACAATAAGTAAAATTTCGCCAGCTAGGACCAAAATAGATTGATTGATAGTTCCGCTGTCGGTGCAATGCAGATATTTTGGTAGGAACAGTCGGAACTTTGAAAAGTAGGTGTGTTCTGTGTTGCTTCATGAGATTAGGTATATGTGCCGATGTTCGGGTCAAGGCGCTAGAGGATTTATGAGTTACCATTTTGTACTGTAATTATTACGCATGTCTACTGAAAAATGTGTGGTAGTCTTCACGTTTTTAAAGTGCATTTTTCGAGTTAACATTGATGATTGACTTTAGTACGTGGAAGTTGTTATTCGATTGTACAGCCGAATACTGAAAATCTAAAAAAATTGTAATTTGTACTTAAAGATTGTGCTCTCACTGTCATTTTAGAGACAGAATTATAATTAAGCGCGACTTCAATATTGAGTGGCGATATTAGTTCGTAGTTCCCTATCACCTGTTTGGTTCCGAATATTGTAAATATTTAAGAAGAATGAATTTAAGTCTGTTTTACCTAGCACCGCATAGATTATACAAAACTATAACTGATCCCGTGGCATTACGACATCGGGTGCAATAGACGCTATGCCATGTTCATTAAGTCAGTATTCAAACATGCTGTTAGTTTATTTATATCTATAACTCTAATTTATCATCATAGGTATTTAGTCATAATGATTAATTAATAACATGCACAAATCCATTGCTCAGAAAACGGACTAGTGTATTGTTGTTATAAAAAGACTATTATTAGTATTTTGATAAAAAAGTGTCATAGAAGATAATTAGGAGATAAAATTTGGTCGAATTAAGAACCTTATTTTTTGAAGTCACCCCATAATATTCTGATTGAAATCGATCCAAAGAGTTTGTATTTTTTTAAGGGGCGATAATCATCGAATGATTGCTCCCGCCTGGGTGAGGCGGGAGGGAGTGTCAGACTCTTACTGACTAAAAACCACCCCGTTCCTTCGTCTGCACTTCAAAGATTTTGTATTAAGGTCGTTATTTACATAAACAGTTAGTTTAACTTTGTATAACAACAACACACAAACGAAATCTATTATAATCACATCAAACCTTGTTATTTAAATAAATCAAATTATATAAATTCCAGTGCGTATGTTAGTGAATGTTGTGCATATATGACAATGTACCTGTAGGTTTGTTGATGGGCTAATTTACTCTTATCGTCGCCATTCGACATGTTCCCATCAGGTGAAATACGGACGCTGAAAGGGACAACACCGGGGTTAATAAAAAAAGGCGGAGTTGCAACGATATCTGTGAAAGACTGTTCGAAATTAAATGTGTTTCTTTTATATTGAATGGCTTTACTACCAATTTAAATCTAAATTTGCCACTAAAGGCGCTAGTGTCAAACTAAAACTCAAAAGCATTTATTTTAATTAAACCATCCACCACCAATTATAAAATAAATAATAGTCTGTCAGTCTGTCCGTCAGTGATTCGAGTGGAGAAGAACGAGCAAGAAACTCCATTCGGCAAACTGTAGATTTATGGTGGCAATAGTTTCAGAAAGCATTTAAAATAACCCAATTGTTGAAGCTGGTTTCTAAATTCGTGGATTATTTAAATAATAAAACAGTTATAGGTTCTTAAACAGACTACTGCCGGAATACTGAAACGTTACTCAATTTTAAGTCGTGCTTAAATATCGTGCCATCTCTGTCATTTTACAAAGAATTTGTGGAGACAGAACTATACTTGAGAGCAACTTAAAATTGAGTAGCGTTTCAGTATTCCGACGTAAGACTGTATTTTTCAATTTTTTAATTTATTTATTATATCAAGGACACATACAAGCTTCATAGTAAGTTACTCGATCGATTCAAAATATTATTAAAACAATGATAAACGTATCTCAAGAAAATGAGACATTGGTGTTAATAGCAAAGGTAACTTTTTTCCTCGAAAATTGAAATTACTGAAACACAATTTATTTTGAACAGTATACTTTGATATCGTTGCGGAAACATGAGACAGAGGGGAGGGTGATATAATGGCTGTGAAATTAAAGAAAATAAGTTTTAAATTTTATATTACCTCTGTTTCGGCCAAGGCGAAAAAATAAAAATAAAGATATAAGCAGCTATTAAAATCTACATAATAGAAAAATATTAATTAACCACCCAGAATAATGAAAACCTCTCAAATTGTTTTCTACAAATGTGGAGGCGAGCTAAGCAGGTTACATTAAGAAATATTTGTGACATTTAAAAATATTTTGTGTCTGAATATTCTGCTTAGGTCACATCCAATTTATATGGATTTTAAGTTAATTAAATACAAAATTGTTTAAAAATTAATATTACACACACATAATCTCAAACTCTAATTTAATTTTGTTATTATTAAGTATTTTAACTAAAATCACAACATATTAAAAAAAATTGTTTTAAGTTACCACCCATAAAAAAACAATAGGCGTCAAACACTCTGTTATCAGATACAGAGGTATCTGATAATAAAAGTTAAGAATGCATTATTCATCTTATCACTTAAAGAGAGAGAAAAATAAGCATTGGATTATCCCATAAAGACAAACTCCAGGCCTGTTTCACAATATCTGAATTTATCTGATTAACACCCGAATTCTGAAAGCCTACTCAATATCAAGTTGGGACTGAAATATCGTGCCATCTCTGTGATTTTGAGCTTCTCGAAGAGAAGAGGCTCAAGACCGATCGAATTAGAGAACCTCTGTGGATGCCCTCTGCTCCACCTAGGGGACATAGGACTAAAGTCAAGTCTGTTTTTTTTGTATTGTAACTTTCGTGAGATACTAAATAAATTACATATTATGTTTTCGGTCTACATGTCTGTAGCAGCGCGACAGTCGCCCCGTCGCGGGTCGCGCAATGCTGCTCATGAATATGAGCCTCTAGCATGGCTTGAAACTAGTCGAGTTCCTCGTCAAATCATTACGTGTGTAAGCCGAAAACATAATAATTTATTTAGTTTGTTATTTTACAAAGAATTTGTAGTGACACAACTATGGTTAAGCGCGACTTAAAATTGAGTATACCCTTTCAGTATTCGGATATTAATTAAACAATGTGAAATATGCCCTTTGACCTACTCATTAAGATAATCAAAAATGAAACAAACCTTCAGAGTGAATCAAAGTATTTGACACCTACCATACCATACGAAAAAAATAAAATAAAAAATTACTTTCTATTTGTAAACTTACCCGGATAGTAAAGGGGTGAGTGGGGCGAGAGGTGTCTCACTGGATAACGACTGTGCCCTGGACAGGGCTGCACCTGGTGACAATGTGGATGGTGTGCTGGGAGTTGAACGTCCACTGCCACCCCCTCCACCGGCCTCGCCGCCACCTATGGAAAAAACAGTAGGTATTAAAAATTTACCATTGCAGTTATTGAAGTTTTTTATTGAATAGGAGGCGATGAGCAAACGTTTCACCTGATGGTAAGCGATCAGCGTTGCTCATGGACACCCGTAACACCAGAGTCAAAGGCTTTAAATATTTATGGTTGTGTTAAAATAAGAACATAAGAATTGTATCTTAGTAAATATGGTGTATGTGTACACTACATGAAAATAGTTTAAAGCGAAAAGTAATCTTACATTTTGATATACCGTCTTGTTATAACGACATTATAGTCAGCCGTATAACCGTAAAAAGATTCTACAAAAGTTACCAAACTGAAATGTCCCGACAAACAATGAACTAACTGATCTTTAAAAAATAGTCTGAACGGTAATCTAACTAAGCAGGTTCAAGGTAATGTGGACTGCAATGCGCTCCCCAATAGAAGCTGCAATGCAGTGAACGTCACATGTTTTTCGAACATTTTTTGTTACCGATGTCTTAATTTCTAAGCACAAGAGAATGAATGAAATGAATACGCAATGTGCAATGTAGTTTAAGTTTAAAGTTATACTTGACGCCACTACACATTTCATAGCGCAATATACCGCGAAAAAGTAACGTCTAAATTCAAATAGCAATCTGTATTCAGATTGCACATGACTAAACCCTGAACGTTTTCCAGGTCACCAGATTCATCCATTCACAAAAAAGCAGAAAATCCTAAGAAATAAGCCTCAGCCGAGTTTTAAAAAATATATAAAAATCCCCTATAAGGGATAAAGAGTTAATTTTAGGTCGTTCCTATTTCCGGAGCGTTTAAATGTCATCCGTTTTTTATGGACGGCAGCCATTTTTGAATGTTGGCTGTCATTAAGGACGCTTGACAACGTGAATGGCTCGTTAACGGTGTATAGTGGGTACACCGAACATGAGGACTTGAATGAAATTCTTTCCGTAATAAAAATGTGAGTACTGAGGAATTTTGTGTCTTAAGAGCACTTTGGATACCACTTTACAACTTTGTGTAGGTCGAAAAATAACACAAAACGTAGGTACCTACTTGGAATTGAGACTTTCAGAAATCTTCTCAAAGAATACTTCGTCTTCTTATTCTTTTTACATTTTCAAGCCGAAAATTTCATAAGTGAAAGTGTATTTGACATTCATAACTCAGTCTTCTTTACCTAAACAAACAAAAATATCAGAAATAAGTAAGCAATTTTTCACTTACCATCATTAGACCATCGTTTGTCGACTCCATCGGTGCTGTATCCACTATCAACGACATGTCTTGGCTTATGCCTCAAGCAGTCTATGGTAGCGTTGCCCGAAGTGATCTGATGCGTCGTACTTTGGTTTGGGGAGTTATTGATGTAAGAACTGTGTTTAGCTGACCGTCGTGTGTCGTCCATTCGCCTATGTGCTGGCAACGAGTCTTTATTCGCCATATTTTCTAGGTACTTGAATATATGCACACGCCCGCGCATGCATATCTAAAAATAGAAACAAATAATTAATGTTGTTATTAACTGTCTGAGACATAATTATGAAATTAATTCTTATGTTTAACGGTTGTAGGGTGCACGACGTTCGCCGTGTCGTATGTCGTGTCATGCTACTCATGAATATGAGCTCCGAGCGTAACATAAACTAGTCAAGTTCTTCATCAAGTAGTTTCGTTTTATTGTATAACAATACATTTTCATTTCAATGACAACCGAAAGTACATGATTACATCTGGATTTCTGTGAATTCCCGTCCCACAAGTACTTTATAAGGAATAAAGGGTTATAAAACTAATGAATGAGGAAAACCTTGATTGACGTGTTACTTTGCTTATCGAAGTGGTTCTGCTAAAAATAAATTACTGAGTGATACTACCAATGTTTATTTGTTTAGTTAAGTCTTCTTTCACACTGTCAGTTAAAGAAAACATAGTGTATCAGCAAGTTAGCATGCCAGTCGTAAAACCCAGGGGAAAGTGTTGTCGAACTAGTTTCAAAGCAATGAACTGAAAATTTATGGCGCTGCGCTGCAGTGAGGTGTTTTATTGCCTTTTAAACTGCATAGGGAATGCAGTTTCAGTACTTTTTATTACAAAATATGTTGTGATATAATAGGGTCAGGTTCTAAAACGTTTTCAAAAAACCCAAAGTTTTTAAGCAGTAAATTACGTATCTTTTAAAGTTTCTTTCATTTCCTATCTTTCATAAAGTTCACGCTAAGTTTAGTTTTGTTTTGGTTATATTTTTCAGGGTAATTTCCATTCCTGGAGAATATCGTAAACTTAATATTGACCAAAACAATATTGAAATCAATAAACAAATATAACTTACTGTTGTAGGTGGGGAAACGAGGGGATTGTTGTCCAGATTAAGCGTAACTATTGTGTTCATATTTCGGAGTTCCAGTGGCAGTGAAGATATGCAGTTGCAGCTCACGTCCAGGTGTTCCAGCCTGAGGTATGTGATCTCTGAAATGGTATACATAGTTAATAGAAAATTAATAACACTAAAATAACAAAGTCAGATTACATTACAGCGTTACATTGAAGTTCGTCCTAAGTCGCGGGCTATTGGATAGTTTATCCAAGAATGGACAAAAACGTAGTGATAATGATACTAAAGTCAAAATCATTTATTTCAATTAGACCAGGAAGGCACTTTTGAACGTCAACAAGAAGCACGGTTACACATTCAATGTTGCCTTTGGAGAGACCTATCTATCTTGAAGTAAACAAACGCAACCGTTGAAAATGAAGGCAGATTTCATGTCATAGGTGACGATCATTTCAAAGTACATTGTTTGGGACTCCACACAACATAGGTGAGGACATTAAATCACCTCATTCAAAAAGGGATTTCTGAGTGCAAAGGCATGTTTACGACGAGTAATGTTGTTTTAGTAGTGGAGTTTCTTTTAATTATTGTTTGTCAGGATATAAAACATTGAGGGAATGATCTATGTTCAGTAGTGACCATCTCGAATCTGACTTGTAATGATTATCTAATGCAGAGAGAGAAAATCAAAGAATAGTGTTTGATGGCTGAATCCTCTCACACATGTATAATTTGTACATGCAAGTAACAAGATTGCACTCCTTAAATAGCGTTCAAACAGTGCAAGATCAAAGGAGCATCCCAAACGTCATGGTTTACGCATCAAAATGAATTTGACCACTTAGTACCCACTTTAGTTTACAGTGATAAATACACAAACTGTAACAGTCTCTCCCACTGTATATTTAAATGTATAAATCGTTACGTTTTCTGACGATTACAAATTTAATAATACTCTTCAAATAAAGACATTGATTTGTAACGACATAAAATAGTGCCAATCTTAGGCACAATAATGAAATTGTAATAAGTAAAATTACATTACAATGGAAAAGACTACAAAGAATATCCAAAGAGGTATATAATGTGTTATTTTCCTTCTATAGCTTGCAGTTGGCGATACCAAGTACCAATACATACAACGCCATTTTAAGTAGGCCACCGATGTTTTCACCATACTCGCGTCTTATCGATATTACGGTACGTTGCGTCCAATGCATGTAATAATTTATTGTAATACATAATATTATTGTTACACATGAGCTGTTCGGTACAAATAATATGCAACTATAGTCTGACTGCCTCATTGGCCGAGTGGTCGCAAGTGCGACTGCCGGGCAAAGTATTACTGGTTTTTTTTAATAAAATTTTTAGTAGTAGCACATAGTCTGAATTTGTTCCCGGTATATGGCAATAGTCTCATCCCCTATTACATGGGACTCATAACATAAATAGTGAAAAGTGGGTGTTATATTGTATAGTGGCATTAAGTGCCGCAATGTGCAACTCTGCCTACCCCATCGGGGATAAAAGGCGTCATGTTATGTTATGTTAAAGTCTTACTTGCAAAGAAACTAGCATTTATAGTTTTGTGAACGGTGGTCTTACAGTCAATCTCTTTAAACTATTATTGATTAGAATTTAAGTACATTCTGCATATACTTAAAACAAATATCTACCTCTGATGACCAAATCTACCACCAGGTAGCCTATTAAGACTGGCCATGACTTTATCAAAAAATGAATCTTCACAACACTAAATCGAGAAACAGTTTCATTGTTCATTTATCTTAATAAATATTTAAATATAGCACACAATGAGTAATCGATAACTAACGATTAAATCAATCAATGAATAAATCGATCATTAAATCTCGATATAGTGGCAACGGACGCGCATATACGACAAGCACGTAAAGCGCATCAGCATTGTCTTAATGATAAATTGACACGACTCATAAAATAAAATGATTTTTTGATTTGCATATAGGGTTTCATGAATACTTTGTCGCATTTTAAATGTAACTTAATCTCAAACGAATACTGTCTGAACGGAACTCAAAGAGACCGTCTCTTTTGAAGTTCAAATATTGAGATGACATGTGAGAAGAATAAGGTAACATACATACAAACGACATTATTATTGGCAAGACTCGACAATTTGGTAGTTTCCAGGGCATCAAAATTAAAAATCTTATTTGTCCGCCAGTTAGATAATGAAAAAATATTAGACACGTTTTTTTTCTCGTATTAAGTTGCAATACTTAGATAAAATGGCGCAAGTTTAGGAATGGGAGGCCGTTACGTCATAACGTGCTACAAAATGTGGCACACTGTGACGTCCCACGATATTTCAAATTAATATATCGTCGAAACTATTAAATTCTGTGAGAAAAGCAAAATATGTGTCTAAAGTTTTAAAATAATGTACCAGACGGACATTAAAATAAAATTCAGGAAACTATCCTATTATTAGGTGCACAGGACTTATACCTGGCAAAGACTATGTTGCAATTAGATGCTCATCCCTTCAAGGAATAAAATTATGTAATGTATTTGAACTCACGTAACGGCAGTAGTCCCAACTGATTATTGCTAAGGTCGAGTGCCCGCAGACCAGCGCAATCCCCAAGGGTCATGGGGACTTGCGTGAGCCTGTTGTTCGAGGCATCCAGCTCCGCCAACGAGGTCATCTTGCCAATCTCCTTCGGTAACGTACTTAGCATATTGTCGGGTACTAAGAGCACTTGAAGTGGCATCTGGCATACTTCACGTGGTAATTCTGTGAGCTGGTTTGAACTGTGGACAAGAGAATAACTTATTAATAACTTGAATTGATAATTACATACATAACTTCATGCCTTTTATTTATTTATATTTATGCCACTGTACAAAGTAACACCCACTTTCACTATTTTATGCCATGTAATAGATAGGGGGTGAGCTCAGTAGTAGCACGGAGTCTGGAATTGTGGCCGGTATATGGCAATAGGCCGTGGCGTGATGTTATGTTATAAAGCATTCAGTTGAAATTACAATGTTTAATGTCTTTCGATACCTCCTTACTACTGGTAGCACCATCATTTTAAGAATCTCATCTATAAAGTCAATGAACGCGAGTATAAACAAATGCACCCAATCGATACATCACTAAATGGTTATTTTTACCCCATCAGAACCGACTTCAGAATGGGATTGTATGTAATTAGAGCGGTCGAAACATAAATCGGTCGTCGCCTAACCTAATAGTTTCGGAGTTCGTGCCAAGAGAACTAGTAAACATTGGTGTAAAGTTCTTAAAAACACTTCCTGCTTCAAAGGTTGAAGGAATAAGAAGGTTTTATACAAATCATCTTTATTTTATAACTACGTGTGCGGTTGCTGTGATAATTTTAAGATAAGATTATGTTGGTACGCGATGAACATATTTTAGGGCCACCTACGGAGTTATTTGAGTTATTTCTTCATGGGAATAAAGCCATAAATAACATTGATTCAAGAGATATTCGCGGACAGAAGTCAAAACAATGTTTAAGTTATATGTTATCCTAATGGATTATCATTATTTATGATTAATAAACACGGGTTTCCAGATAAATCGTCGTAGTTATTTTACGACACATTTCAAGAACCATTTCTGTCGTTATTTATTTATTTTTATAGGTATACCTATAGCTTCTGTATACATTATTTAAGAAATAACATAGGTAACAATAGGTTAGGCTTATACAGTGCCCATTTATAGGTTAACCAAATTTACAATTAAGTGATAAAAACTACACAAACGAACAAGGAAAATAATTTTAGTAAACTGAAAAAAAAAACTTATAGGTACTACTTTAAAGTTACGAAGCAAGCCAATACAAATATAGTAAATTGATCAGCATCTAAATAAATAAACTGGAAACCGAACCACCCTCCAACATAATCACTCCAATTCATAAAAGTAAAAATCTAATAACATGAAACTAATGCAATTTTATGACCAAACTAATAAAGTTCCGAATCTCGAAGAGCCAGCCAAAACAGATGCGCTAGAAAGAGATAGAACCAAAACAAACCCTGTTATAACCAAAACACAGACAGCCAACCATACCGAAGTACTTAACAGTGCACAGACTACCTTTAGATATTTTTTCACCGTCTAGACGTTTAGACATGGTTGATACAGGATCCAATTCTGCAAGACTAGGAATCGATAAATAGATGCGAGGTCAACGGACGACACAAGGGACATAATTAGCTATAGATAGTAGGAAAGTCCTATTAACAATTCGTCACAATGGGAATGGCCTATATGCGTATGCTGGTAAAGCGATTATAGTACGGGATGACGTAAACAATCCAATAAATATACAGGCATACACAGGCACGTGGAATGGGATCAACGAACCGAGGATAGAATGGAGTATTACTTTTACTGGCAGTAGGTAGCATAAAGATACAACCGTTTCTTTGAAAGACTCCTGTTATGACTTTCATGTATTATCGTTTGTTTCTTTATTCTTGCTTGTCTGGATTATACTTGGAAAATACATACAATGTGGAAATGAATAACTTTATCGTAAAAGGGATTTTTAAGGTGTAGGTATTCGTGTGATCGTCGATCTTGATACTCATATGCTAAGTAATTCAAAATGAGTTTTATTTGCGTTATTTTATGACAGTAATTAATAAGGTAATTGTTATAAAATTAGAGTAGTTATTAAAAAAGACAAAACAGAGAAGTACAGTACAAAAAGTGGTAAGTCTAATAGGCCTGTTTTACACACAGTAGTGGGTGAAACAGGCACAGAAAACAACTTACGACCCCAATAAAAATCTATACCTGAATTTAGGATACAAACAAGATTTACTGTCTATCTAGTCACCATTTATGTCCCGGTACTGCACAGTGCACACTAAGCATAGCAGCATCCAAGTGCCACATTTCTCAATATCGTCCCGTCAGCGAGATAACACCGTTATCGCACCACCATAGAAGGCAACGCGACAGTTTCACCAGAAGCAAGAATATGAACTGTCATACGAATGCAATGTAAACAAGCTTTCTCGATGACTTTGTAATTTAGTGTAAGTACTGAGTAGTACTTACTTTACTGGTCTTACTTTAGCACTTCGATTTCTTGTTAAATTTGTGTCAATTTCAGCGGTTATTAATGGTAAATAATGTTTATTCCCTGGCATTGTTTTCAAAGTACATTAGAAAGTAATCAGATTTAAAATCATAAGCCCCTGAAGATTCAAGTGTACCGAGAGTACACGTGCGTTTAAAGATTGCAAAATAAATGCCTGTTTGTGAAGTACAAAAACGTAATTGACGGTTACTTAACGAAGTGTGACTAATTAATTCTTGAATAAAAAATTTAATTCATTTACACATTAATGGTCATTATTAGAACGCTCACGTTAGACTACAATAATAAAGTAACTGTAGCATTATCGAATTAAAATTATTTTTCAAGAATGCAATGTTTCATACAGGATTTTATAATTTTTCTGGTTTATTAATAACTCACACCTAGAGCTAGGTACTTCACACACCGTCACAATAAATAACTGAAATACTTTAATAAATAATTACTGAAGCGTAAAACGAAAAACATACGTCAGAAATACAAAGACTTTCCCTGGAAACGCGTCATAATTAATTTGCCAAACATTGTACGGTGAAAAGCTATTCAAAGTTGGTTAATTGTGTTGTATCCTCGCCTAAAACACACCTCTGTCATACTGTGAGGCGCCATGATAACATTTGCTGAAGCCGTTTATTGCGAGGGACGAGCCCTATACGAGGGAATAGGGTGCCTCTTGTTGCCGACTTAATTATTTAGGCATTCAGGGGGATCTTAGTTGGAGTCGGAGACGACTTATGTGTGAATCTAGGTCACTTTAATACCTTGTAAATGATGGAATAAGTTTAGTATATTTTGGAATTCAATAATAACTGCATATGGACACTGGGCAGTAGATTTCCTTGGAAGCGACTAAGTAGATGTTAGTTTGTATTACAAATGACTCTCACTACATAAACATTGCACAACGATAGGGAATAGGCAGGTGTAATTTTCAAATGATCCATTATGCTTCCGAGTTCCACCTCCCACACTCAATATGAAAGCGGCATAGCGGCCCCACATGGCTTCCCCTAACAATTTAGTGCAAATAATTCGCACGTTCCGCTTCAGCGGTTCAAGGCCGATATCATATCGATTTGTATAGTGTGGGGTGACAGAAATAACTCTTCGACAAAAACTATTCTACGACGCCATTTCAACTACAAACTGACCTGACTGAATGGTTGTTATATGAAAATTACGTGCTTATCGCAGTATCTTGCAATTAATTAACTAAGCTATACAAAAATGCATCTAGTTAAATAATATCTTGGTCAAAAAAACGGAAACGGTAAAAACAAGCTGGTTATATAGTATCTGCCCAATTGAGTTGCACAATAGTGGTCAGTGGCCGTTTCCAGTCTTTCGCTATTGTACTGCACATTTGGCGCGGACGTCCCATTTTCGAAAGCCTACGTGTGTACTGTCATGCGCATGCGCTTGTTGATCGAGCGTTATGGTGTGTGCGCGTGCGACGAACCGCGATCACAATGCGTCAGTTACGCTTTGCTGGTAGTTTTATGACTGTGTTTTGGCAGTTACGTCAATGTAGATCATTTTGATTCTGTCAAATCAACAGTTTGGAACACAATAGCTGTGATATAAGCGTAATGATAGACAATTTAGGTAATAACCTCCTTGTTGTCAAAATTGGGAATTGTATCAGTGGTATTTACAACTCTAGTACGCTAATAATACAAGTGATTCTTATCACTTCCTTCATCCGTAAACATGGATACAACGCCATAAATAAGAGAGAAAACTGTTGCATGGTGTAACAATGGAGTCGGGTGCTAGTGTTGTGACAGTTGTGCATTTCATAGAATAGAAACAACAATAGTTGAACGTTGGACTTATTTGTTGGGTGTTCTCGTTGTTCCGAGTACAAACTGTTTACAAACGGGGCTAATGTAGATCGAATTACGTACGACATACAGTTATTGGTCGATTGTATCAATTTCAAGTTCAAAGACAGCAATTACCCAGCACTCAGAAACTAAATTTCTTGGAAAAATCCGCTCTAATGCCCTCGGCTGCGCAACTTTTCTTCGCCGAACTTATTGCTTGAGCATAACAGTTGTCATAATTAAGAGCATAATTGTTTTATATCCCATAATGAAACGAACCAAAGCGGTCATTAAATTAGCAAGTAAATGAAAGCGTTTTGTTAGTAAAATTCAAACTAATTACGAAAAAATTGTGAGAGGTGTAAGTTATTCTTAAGTAACTTGATGGCCTTCTGTATTTTCGTGTTTCTTCCTGATTAAAGCACATGCAAAGGATGATGTCAGTCGACAGCTGGGATCCCACCTGCCCTGTGCCAAAAATAAACGGGGTTTGATCCAACGAGTTCTGTCGGACATCGAGGAAAAATAAAAGAATGTGTGTTATTTCAAGACCTTTGACTATAAGAGGAATATTAAATTAAAGCATAGATCTCAAATTCTCAATTGTTGGTTTAGGACTTAGGACAACTTTGATGAAAGTAAACTCGAGTCCGTATAAATTAAGTAGGAGTATTCAATTACGTTTGAAATAAAAAGGAAAATTGAATTATACATCCATCTTTCTTTTATCCTTTATTATCATTGCTATTAGGGTTGAATTTCGTTGTAACCAGACCTTCAATTACTTTAAAGGCAGGGCTTACATTTCATGCGCCCACACTCATCAAATTAAGGTGATCAAATATTAGGAACATAGGGTTTCTTCATCAAAACTCGTGTATTTATTTGTAGATATGATAAGTCTGACTGTCAGTCATCGCTTATCCATATGACACTCTTCGTCTTGGCCATGACATCTACGGTCATTAACCTCGCCTACAGATCGGTACACTATGCGATACGGTAACTTCTTATCTCGATGCAATAAGGTCTACTTTGTGATACGTAATGATAATACTGTTGCGTATCGCGAACACGTGATATTATGATATTGATCTTTTGTTTATGGAACAATAGAAAAGGTTAGGCTGTTATATTGGTGTCAAACAGTAATTTGCTGTCGTGCCAAATTGCACCTAGTGAGTTATTAAATACGCATTACTGATATTTTCGTGCTAAATAGACCTTGAAGTAGAGGGACGATAAATTAAACAAACACAGATGTTTTTCCTACATAGGGGGAGCTACAGGACGCCTAATGAACTTTAACTACCTTCAGAATGAGGTAGGTTGATTTGAGGAGCATATCGACCGGTTGGACAGACAGGAGACTTTTTAGAAACTACGTCGCGTCGTGGGTGAATGCTCCATTATCTTATTTGAAGACTATTTCTAATTAAAATATCTAAATATCTGATGTAGCTATTGAGACACTAAGACGCAGTTTAATTTAAATGATCGATGGACATACAAAACGGCAAAGTAACATTAACAACAATAGCATTTATGTTTTTAATAATAACATAGCCCCTAAAAATTACAAGTAAGAACGTTGCCAGATTTACAACCCCTGTTTCTGTCCCCTAAATTGGTCCTTGATTATTAGGGCATCACGAGGGTTGGCACAGCGCCCTACATGTAAGCACTGGATCCAGTTATACGCATGAAATATGCTTCGGCACTTTCTAATTTTGTTTTATAAATCTACTAGCTTTTACCCGCGGCTTCGCTCGCGTCACAAAAGAATAAAAAGTAGCCTATGTGACATATATCAATACACACAGCGCCATCTATACCAATACTTTTGTTTTTCCTCGGTAATATCAATTTTTCCGGGTTAAAAAGTACCCTATTATTTAATCCGGACTTCTAACTTTACGTCTGCAAAAATTCAAAGCAATCGGTTGAGTAGTTACGGCGTGAAGGTGGAACAAACAAACAAACAAACAAACAAACAATTTAGTAGTATTTATACGAAGTTTATAATAAGTATGTCATATTATAGGAACTTTGCATTAAAGTTTCTATGTACTCTTACCGTAAAAAGCAAATTATTACTGAATGCAATGGTTTTGATATGTTATCGCGTGACTACCGACACTATACTTTCATCGATAAGGGCAACATGTGGGGGAAAGTATTGTGTATGTTAATTAATTAATTTTTATTACAAAAATCAAGATTTCAACTCGTAATAATAACTTTTGTGTAAAGTTTGTTTATGACCTAATTATTTTTTGTTGTAGGTAATATGTTAAAGCACTTTCTGTTTTTATAACGGTTATATTAACAAGTAAATAAGTATTCTAAGTAAAAGTTTGGCCCTGCATTCTGCTTGATCCTTATACTATAAGACTACCTTCATTTAAAGACCAAATTAAGAAGACACTTCATCAAAACCAGATCTCCAAAACACAAAAGAACATTGCACACACAACAAAAGACGAAGACTAAAATATCCGTAAATGTCGAGTTCAAAGTAAAATCTCAGCGCGCGAGAAAGGCATTCTACTTACCCATGTCATAAATAGCTATGATAATAAAAAACTATAAAAGGCAAGCCCACTGTCCGCGTATAAAACGAAGTTTATTTCTAAACCAAAGCTATTAATTACAGCCATTTTGTAAATTGTTCAACGTTGTAGATGTAGCTATTTGTGTGGTTTATACTTGTTTCGTTTTAAAACGCACGTAAGTACTGGAAACTTGAATAGTTCTGTTATATTGAGAGTGCAGTTAGATCGTAACTAAGTTTTTGTTGTGTGTTGCTTTAGAATTTGCTTCTGTAAAGCGGTTTTGTATACTTTTTTTATAGTTTGAAGAGATCTTTGGGAAAATAAGCCAATATGTCTTATTTTACCATTCTGTCTCATTACGGTTCATTTGCTTTATGGTTTTATTATTCATATTGGGTTACATAAAATACCAAGCATAAAGATAAAATAGCTTAGAATTATTAAGTTTTGCATCTGTTATTTCCAAGAGCTAAAAGTTATACCGTCGAATCTAGCATTAGAGAAAATGATACGAGTTTCCACCTGACTTTAGACTTAGTAGTTAGCAAGTGTGAATTTAAAGATCACTTCCAACGGCATCTACTGAATTTATACTAGTAACTCTAATCTCTAAACATTTTTATTAGGTTTTCAACTTTGTATCAAAACAATTAAGTTGAAAATAGAGTAAAGGAATTAGTGTAGGTTGACCTGCTAGCGTCTGTACATTTAGCTTTGCAGTAAGTACTGCAATAACAATCTACATTATATCGTTTTAGTTGTCATCCTTTGGAGTGTGTTGTAAGAAATTATCATAATGTGCTATTTCTGTTCTGAACTCTGTGGCTCTGGAGATATTGTCCTTGACTTGTTCGACAATCAGCGTCATGCAGTTATGTTCCTGTTATTATCTTGTTAGTAAACTGTGATGACGTTAGAGTCCTGTCTGGGTTGCGGCATTTGTGTGTGTGGGTAAGCGATTAGATAGGGGTGAAATTGTTTAATGGATTTATTGACAACAAAATGTGATATTATCGTTTTGTGTCTACTTGGTGTAATTTGGAGTTTTCGCAAACTTATTAGGCGAAAAACGTTCATAAGTAAGTAATCATTAATTATGTTAACGGTAGGAAAATATTTCAACAAATAAAAATCCTCTGTCGTTATACCACTTGTTTATAGTTATAAATGTGAACAAACCTCTTACGAAAAATACTTTTCTAAACGTCAAAGTCAAAACGCTAATGTCAAAGTCACAGAACTGAATGGCTTGCTATCGTTTGCATACAAAATATAAAACGTTGAAAAAAAAGCGTGCGTTTAGCGGTTGGCGTTCGCACGCGCGTCGACGACTAGCCCGCGAGCTCGCGTTTCCCCCCTCTCTCTACGGGTACGGGCAAGTTGGACCGAACCGCGCCGCTCGATACACGCCACGGGCGTCAACGCTACGGTAACCAAGCTGCGTTCATAAGACAATATTGTTTCTATTCACACATAAAAGAGTGCAATAAAACTAGAAAGTATTTATCTTTATTTGTTTATTAGGTACTTTAAATACGGACTAATTTGTACGAATTTTATACTACTTTAGTTAATGAAATAATGTTTCTCAATATGTATTTTCATGTAGGTAATTCATTTGTGTCTCTCTTTTCCAATTTAGTTGTCAATTTTCCTGTTAGGTAATGAACTTAAAATATATATTATGCAGATGTGTAGGAAATTATTTGAATTTTAAGCGAATTGTGTCATGTTACGACCATTGTGTACGAATTATTTCAGCAATATCCTTATTTGAGTCCACAGATTGGGCTAAATATAGTCCTTTATCGTCGTGATAAAGTTATTCACCCTAGTACCGGCCATCTTGGAGCGTAAACCGCCGCGTTCCCCCGCCGCACGCCAGTCGCTCGATGAGCGCCCGCCCGTGTGTACGGCCTATTCACGAAATAACAAGTTGCCAACAAAGAATTGCATCACCATGCAGTTCGAATACGATCCCGAAAGGCTTATAGAAGAAGTGAGGAAAAGACCTGGCATATGGAATTATGAAGATATGGAATATCGTGCTAAAACTATGAGGTACAAACTCTGGAACGAAGTGGTCACGGAACTTATGAATCCTGAGGCCAAGGTCTCTAAAAGTGAAATGAGAGAACTCGGTGAGTATATTGTAACTTTGCAATGCATTTTTTTAATTTACAAATAGATATAAGTTTAACTAGTATGAGTTAGTAGGTAACAAAGTAACAGGTTATAGCAGCCTACCGGTGAAATTTCTCGCACCAACATCACGGAATGCCGGGTGGACGTAAACACAGATTTGTTTTTGATGCATATTGCTGTGGCGCTACGATAGATGGCGTTAGGTGTCTAGACCGGCGTCGCCGACACTCTTTTTTTAACCGTTTTATGTTTCAAATGTGTTTTTGATGGCTCTCTCTAAAGTGGTACAATTTAATGATATTTATGGACACTTCATCATACATTTGCATACAGATTGCGGTTATTACGTTTTTAAATAGGGTAACTATTTAAGTTATGGGAAATAACGAAATTTTTCAATTGGGGTTCTCATGTTGGGTTACAAAATATGAATAAATATCCAGAGCACTCGTTAGGAAGTACAATTAAAATCGTGGTATTAATTAACTCTTTTGCAAGTCATAAAAAAGTAAATTTTATAAATGTTTCTAATAAGATTGTTTCCTTTTTTTCAGAAATCCAACTACAAAAGAAATGGAAAAGCATTCGGGACTGCTTTCAGAAATACATTGCAAATCCTAATAGAACGAAGAAACCGTATATTTATTCCAGACAGTTACAATTTCTATTGAAAGATCAGGAGGAATTACCACGCAAAGAGGACGGAGGAGGAACAACTGAATCAGATGATGACAAACCAATTAAAAAGAAGAAAGTATGGAGATCCAAAAGAAAGTTGAAATTAGTGAAAGAGGAGACTTCAGAAGAAGACAATGACAATAGTATTAATTACGAAGCTAATGATGATTCCAGAGATTATACTATGGAGACGTCTGAAACTGGACGATCAGCGAAGGTACCAAAGACTAGCAAGCCACAGCCACAAGTCGACGAGTTTGTATTTGCAAGTGTTGATACACAAATAAAAAATGAATCGGATGATCCAGATAGAATGTTTTTACTGTCACTTTTGCCACATTTGAAGATGATACCGGAAGAATTTCGTTTGAACGTGAAAATGGATATGATGCACGTACTTCGAAACGCAAGTTATAACACCGCTAGAGAACACAAGTTGATTTAAATTAGTATCGTTTAGTTACTATAACTTTTAGTAGTCAAAATGACTGTTTAATTTATGAACAAATATAAGACTCGTTATGTTACATTCCTAATATTTAATATTAAATAAAAATTTGTGATAAAATATTGTTTGACTTACCTTAAATCTAAATATGTGAGTGATTGGAGACCTCCAACTGCATTTGGGACTGTTCTGATGATGTTTTGTGATAATAGTAACTTCTCTAAAAACACGTAGGACGTGAGTTCATCTGGTAATTCACTGAATCGATTTTTGGATAGATCTGAAACAAAGAGAATTATATTTAGCACTGAGAAGCTTGACAAGGAAAACAAATTGTTCTAATACAGCTCCATTTTACAAAATGTTACAAAACTTATAAGTAGATTAAATTATGTTTCGATTTAAATAAAATTTGGTGATTTTATTCGACGATAAAAGTACAAAGGGACAATTGATTTGTTATTTTAAAATAATCGTCTTACGAAACCATAGTAGGGCGATTCAAAACTTCAAAGAATGAAACTAAATATTTCCAGTTCGTCACAAACGAGGGGGTGAGCCCTTAATGGTTATAATATTTTCTTTTCTAAGTGAGTCGTGGTTTTACGGCTTAAGTAATGGCAGCCATGAAAGTTCACCGTAATAATGATTTAGTACGGTTATTGAAGTATTAATAAATAAAAAGTTATTGCTTGGGATATGTCGGTAAGTCACAAAAATAGATTGAAGCCATAATTTTTGTAATAGTGCAAAGACGACAGAGGTGATTTCGAAGATGGGTATTGTTAATAGATGTTTTGGAAACTGTGGTGTCTAGATTAGATATCTGGACAAAATCAAAGTTTATACATGTTTATGGTTCTTGAATCGCAACTTTTTATTTATTTGTAACATGTGATACAAATAAATAAAAACAACAAACACTATCAATGTTAAATGATCTACAAACGTGACCATACTACAACGGTTCTTGAACATCCATTCATTATGATACGAACTTATGAATATTTGTTTGCCTATACTAATATGATATCAAACATACCGCATAAAACAGTATAAACAAACAGTTTCTAGGCTAAGTAAACTAGTTAGGTTCGTTGACACAAAACTGCGCCGGAGTGCGGTTGATGGGTAACCGCAGGCAAGACAAGCAAGGATAAGAACTGATTATTATGTAATCAGAGAGCATAATACTCCTGTGTTACCTGCTGTATAATCTTTAAAGCAAGCCGTTGCCAAGAGTACAAATAATTATAATTTTATAGAAGAGAATGCAATAAATATCTTGGTAACCGGTAGTCATACAATATACTTATATGGATATGATAATGAACCATCGAAGAAGGTTTGTATAGGGAAGGCAAAATTGTACTTAGCGCAGGTTATGTGATTAATCCCGAGTAATAGGGCCAAGGGGTCAATGGATTATATCCTACACGAAATCCATCGGAGGCAATAGGAGACATAACTAGTGATTTTTCTCTTACTTTCTTTATTGATGTTAGGTATCATACTAGTGAACAGGAAGCAAACGAACAAACGAACGGTGTCAAGTTAGTTCCAAATGAAAAGAGTAATTATGTACGTTCTATAGCAGTCCAATGACGACTTAGGCGTGCAACGGATGCTTGATGTTATAAGGAAGAAAACAAGATAATATAGTCAAGATTAAGTGAACAAGATTCATAAAAACACGTATGGCCTTAACCCCACACGATTTTATTATTGCCCATTTGAAACCGGTTTTAGTCAAAAAACTGATCTTAATTCGTTAGCTCTAATAAAATATAATTGAAGACATAACGTTGCTATGCTACAGAATTACCTTATAAATCGATTTTAGGGATCGATTAGGAAGCGTTGAAAGCTAATCGATTAAGCTAAGGATGTTGAGTATTGACACTACAATTCACCTCCAATTCATAGCCACAACTAATGTAATCTAATCTCAAGTCGTTATTGAGAACATACATATTGGATAGTTGAACTCAATTCATTTGATTTATTAACGGTCTAACTAGCTATTGTGGACAGATATATCGACATCAATAAATAAAAAACATTTGTTCTTCCAGTCAAGTGGGTTCCATGAAAGTTTATCTACACATCTAGTGTGTAGAAATATGGTTTCTACTCTAAACAGCCGGTGTAAATGGACGATGACATTTTCCTTGTAATATTTTTTGCTCGTGTTTAATCCCAAGGTTTTGCGAAAAGGGGACGCTTTGTGGTGGCGGAGCTTTGGTGCTGCAAATGATAAATGCTCGTAATACCACAGTCATGTGGCATACTTGGCCTAAATGCGTAAGCGAAATGATGAAATGAGAACGTAGAATACAAAAAGATTAAGATGGTATCAAAAGTAGATTTAAGTAGTTTAGTGACGACGGACAGACGAGAACTATCAAACCATTAAGTAAAGTTATCAATACATGTAAGAATGATTGTGAACGATATCATTGATTCAAGTTATCTATAAATACACCGCCACACTACGTTTCTGAAGTTGAATCACATGCCGCCACAAAGTGTGTCAACATCAACGATCAATGGGCAAGACTGCACCAAAACTGGTTTCACCTTACACAGTTTCGTGAGAACTGTCCAATGCATTTCGTTAAACTTTTTCTTCACTATGATTTCAACCTTTTTCCTGTTCCTGCGTTGTATCATTATGTTGGTAAACGCGACTTGGAAATATAATAATTGGATGATGAGCGAACGTTCAGAGGAAGCCGTACTTAATAACGTTGGAAGTATTTGCTGTTTAAGCACAGTTAGTACTTTACATTTTTTACTAAAACACAAGTTCAACATCGAAAAAAGATATGATAAACCTCTATCAACATGAACTAGTTCTCAAATGAGAGTAGCAATATTGTGTCGTGCCAACTTCACTATCAGTAGGACACCAAAAACTTGCTACCAAAACATCGTAAATGATATCGTGAATTCGTGATATAATGCTGGCGACCTAATTTTTCGAATACTGATAATGCGTTCAAGTAATAAAGTTAATGGAAACACTCCAGAGAGTAGTTGTATCTACTTATTTAGGGGGAGGCTAGGAAGGTGCTCTATCAAATCTAATACGTCACGAAATTGTTAAAGCATATCACAAATTGGACAGAGAACAAACTTGATGATAAACTATAAAACAAGTCATCAAATATAAATTGAGCTCAAATCCTACCAAGTCAAGTAAGTGTAAATAACAAAGGAGAACACAATTAAAAATGTACAAACTTTTGCAGTTCCATTACTAAAACAATGAGAAAGCCACTCCAATTTTCAAAGACAGGCTCAGAAAGACGAAGTTCATCAAGGCTTGTTCCTATGTAAAGGCTGAGAATAAAGGTTTCTTTTCCTTGCTGACAGACAACGTGGGCGGTGACAAAAGGAGGTCTCCTAAGCATTAATGACTAGAGCTACGCCTTTGAACAATGAATATGAGAACTACTCTTAGACATAATGAAAGTTTTACATCTTAAGACCTCCTTGCTACTCACAATTTTGAGCAAGTTTGGGAGCAATTAATATTATACGTTTTGATGAGGTTATGGAAATAGTTATGAGTTAAATTAGAATTCAGGATGGGCATACTCATAAAGTTGTTTTATTATTGTGGTTACAACATCCTAGGCCAAGAGATTACACATTAGACTAGAGAATAACTGATGACATAAGAATTTAAAATAGTTCAATAACATATACAAGCGTCCAAATACGTTGCGCGCATAAAACCGGGGCTTGTTTCTTGTTTGCAATTAATCAGTACAAGAGAATTAACAGAATTAATCTGAAACGCGTTACAATTCATCAACAGTGCGGACACATTCATAAATCTAACGCAATTGAGGCCAACGTGAGACTTAATAACTCCGAGGACAACACTCCGGGTCCTGGCGTTCGATGATTATATCCTAGAGTTTCCGGCCTCTGTCATAAATACAACGTGTTCGTTACAACACTTATGAGTCATGGAGCATAAAGCTGAGCAATGTCTAAACGATATGCCTCACTACTAAATGAAACACAAGTAAACCCAGCCGATATTATGTAAACTTTCTGTTCTAGAGAACATAGATCCAATAATAGTCTATAATGAAGACTCAAAATAAACAAAGAAGCCTGCAATGACATAATATGTTACATAATTATTTTGCTAAGCGTTTGATGAGAATTAATAAGCGTAAAATATCACGCTGGCGAACCAATCGAGCGACATCAAAGGGTTACAGTCCTCGACGCAGTTTATAGAGAAAACAAAAATACATTCAAGAGCAGTGTATGCAGTTTCTGATGATGTAATCTGGTGAGACCATCAGACGAGACAAGGCAACGATCGTTAATACAAACTGGAACACAAACATTAGTTACCGCAGATGAAAATTACACTCTATTGACGGATACTGACAAGATGTTTATGATCCACACTTTTCGAGAAACATCATGCATGTGCCTCATAGTGTAAGGGAATATAAAGACGAGTAGGCGTAGTATAATTTTCTTATTTTTTCAACGGGCATTTGTACCTTTATTAGATTCATACCGAGAGTAACAACGTAGTTTCAGTTGGTAATAGAATTCAAAATAATACAAATACTACCTCGGGTCTTGTTTTTCTACGCTTCGTATTGGAAATCTCGATTCTACCATAACAGTGAATATGGATTTCCTTTCTTCAATCCCTCAGTACCAATATGATACAAATATCTGGGATACTGAAAATATCCACACGAGGATAGAGTATACTTTTATACAAAAGGTGAGCTATTTCCACATGATGAAGGGAGGGCTGACGGCTAAAGGCCATTAGATAATGTGCCACAAGCCCACAACCCTGAACTTTTGATTGACAACGTAAATGACAGAGGTTGAAACAAAATAGCCTTACTAAAAATCTCCAGTGAAATTAAACCCCAGACATGTCTGATGTCATAATAGTTATTTATGAGAATTTTTGTTTGCCAATAAAATACTCGATAGAAATGGTGTCGTCATTGCTTTCCAGGTAGACATTATCGCAGGCAAACATTGATCCCACGTTAACTGATACCTTTGATAATGTCGAAACCTTTTAGTGTAGCGATATACGTACACAGTTCATGTAAATGAAACTTTCTGTTAAATATGCAAAAAAATAAATGTCGGTAAACAAACGGAAATTAATGTTCATTTCATTTTTATAATGGTGACTGCCTCTGCTTGGCTCAGTTTCTCCTATCAACACACTCATACACGCATGAGTTAATACAGAAATATAACATTATTGTGTCG